ATTTATTTATTTTTATTTTATTAAGCACATTTCCCCCCATATGCATGTTATGCATATAATGCAAAAAAAATTACTGTAATGTGCAAAAACATTATAAATTATGAAAATTATGATTAATTAAATTATTTTAAAAATGTGTACCACTTTTAATTTATGCTCTATTAATTAAAATCATTGCATTGCAGTAATTTCTAAATATTCTGAATCAGAGTAATGGTAATGATTTTAGTAATGAGAAAGTGATTATTAAAATAGTAGTGTTAGTCATTTTTTTAAGTGATTAATTATTTTGGAAAATGTGAGTTCACTTGGCATGATAATAGGCTTCCTAAAAAATACATAAACGATACATAAAAATTGTTATTTGGCAAAATATGTGTTTATTGTTGTAACTGGTTAATGTTTTATTATTATTCAATTATTTACTTTATTTATTACTTTTGCCACCATTTTATTAAACCAACAAAAAAATGAAGTTTTTCTAAAATGATAACAAGAGCAATAGGATAAACCATACCCTTTAATTATGGAAATGTCACTGTAGATCACCACCTCTCTGGTGCTTTAATGTATGTGCTGAATCTCAGTTAGAGCAGGAGTTATTGGAGAGGTCATAAGTGTAGAGCTCATGCGTTTTATTGAGGTTGAAAGATAGACAGGACAGGCAGAGCAGAGCACATCTCCCTCTTCCTGCGAGAGGTCTGATCTTCCTCCAGCAGTCTGTGTACTTCATTAAAACTGCATAGATGTGTGCTGAAGGATGAGAGCAGAATACAGCTCGATGGACACAGAAATACACACATGATGAATTACAAAGCAATGTTAATGAATTGCATTAATTTTAGATGAGTGGGTTTTTGTGCATAAGAACATAGAATCAACATTGGCTCTATGCTAAATATATGTGTCCAAAATATGTGTATATATTTTACACACATATGTGGTCTTACTGTGAACGATTTGTCAATGCATGCTCAAAAGAATGTTCCATCAAAATCTAATAACTCGCTCCACCTCTGAAACAACTTTTTATTATTGACAATGTTGACTTTTAATTTCAACCCTGATTTGATTGTGCTTTCAGTTGTCGATAAAAGTGTAGTATTCTCAGTCCTGTTTAAAGGGGTAATTCCCTGCTGCATGGCAATATGGGGTTTTAATAAAAGTTAGCTGTCAATGCAGTAGAATTTTTTAATCTGTGCTACATGACTAGACAAAATAGAGCAAAAGGGATATGCAGGTAACATGGAAAATTAATGCACATTGTTGATACAAAGTTGTTCAAATACAAAGCTGGTTGAACATTTGCAGACTTACCCTTTAACACATTTAGCCATTGTCCATTCTGCAGATTTCTACCCAAAACTGGCATTGAAAATGTGGGAAATGTTTTCTGGTCCTGCAAATGTAAAAGTATAATGTCCATTGGGATATGTTGTGCCAGTAAAGAGGCCTCCTAAAAATGTGGGTGTTTCAGGAGATTAATAGGAGTCTTCCACAACCAATTGCAAACTCACAGTAAGGCCCATTTTTCAAGATTCAATCAAATCCCAATGGATGAAAAAAGTGCCGTCCTACATTGTTTGTTGCTGTTCAATGTGTTTCTCATTAAATATTCACTCAGAAATAAGCCACATTAACTGAAATAAAATGGGTTGCAAACTCCATTTCATGTTAAATTTAAAGTTCATCGAGCACATCACAAGCCTTTGATAGGAAAACTACAAATCACAAACATAAGAGAGAGCGAGAGTGTGTGTGTGTGTGTGTGCATTTGTCCTGCCATGTGTCTTGCTTTAACTTTGATGTAAATTTTGTCGTATGTAACAGGACTGGCACATCTTCTCTCTCTCGATTCCCCACCTGTTTTTCTTTTCTTCATTTCTTTCTTTTCTCTCTTATTGAGCTATGATATACAGCTCTTCATCTGCGCTTTCCCCTGCGTGTGCTTAGATCTACACCATATGACTTTATATATTGTCGTTTAGTGCAGCAGAAGACAAATGTTTTCTGACAGAGCATATTTCTCACGTCTACCACAGTGTGGAGAGGGTTGCAGCAGCTGTGTGTGTTTACATTAACACAGGATTTTTATTCTAACTGTGACAAATCGGGCTTATATTTCCATAAACTAAGGTCTGTTTCTTCTGTGTGTGTTTAAATATAACCAGCGAACACGGCGAAGGTGTTTATTGATGTGCAGGATGAGAATGATCATCCTCCGGTCTTCACAAGGTCTCTTTACATCGGAGGAGTGACTGAAGACACTAAGACCTTCACCACAGTACTGAAAGTTGTGGTGAGTATGTTATGTGTTATTTATTCCTAGGCAGCAGTGTAGGAAAGATCTGGAATGTCATGAGGGCACATTATAAACCTTAGGCTAGACTCATGAATATTAATTAGGTGACATAACGCTCACCCAGTAGTCCTAACTGATTTGTTGAAGGCAGACAAGTGGGCACTTGCCACTGACAAAACAAATATTTTGTCTTTTTTTTTTTTTTACTTGTGCTAATGTCAGCCATTCTCCAGAGCACAAAAAGAGAAATTCTGAAGACTGTTCACATGTTTTGCAATGGCAGTTCTTAGTGACCAAAAAAGGACAAAAACACTA